AATTGAAATATTTTAGTGATCTTATTCTTTTCGGAGTGTCTTAAATTAGTTTAGTCAAATGCCGCGTAATAATTGGTTTTATAATTCTTGTAGCTCTTAGTTGCAAATATAGTTTTATAATGGACCATTTGAATTTTAGAAGTCGCTATTGTTGCGCTTGATTTGTAAAAGTAAAACGTGTAAAATGATAACGATCAGTTGTGCAACCAGTATTATTATGGTAATTTGTAAAAATTGTGCGTATTATGTATTGTGACAATTTTACAGTGTAACTGAGAACTGAAGGAAAGAAATATATGTTACTTACCGTTCGTAGGTAACCTTAGAGATGAAGCACAGAAATTTTTAATTCAAATTCAAATTTTCGAATTCAAATCCAAATTTATATTTCACTATTGAAAAATCTTGTTTTAAATTTTCACAATTTTGTATTGTTATATTATTTGACATTGTATCATATTATATATGCATATTATATAGATAATATAACCACAGTTATATAATATTATTATAATATTTGCTGGAACACTTGACTTTTCCAAATAACCGTTTATTCGTGTACGTCTTGTGTCGAGCAAGAAACAAAACACTACAAATTTCTTACGACTATTTGATTCGAGGTTGCCATATTTCGTTAATCGAGGAAGTTTTCACGGCGTACAATATTTCGAATTTGCGCGCTGCTTCAATCAAACGAGAAACCATTCTGTTTCAACCAATAGGAAAGCAGCTAGGCGACGCTACGGCGCGAGACACCACTCTGCTGTCGAAAATCGAGACGTCAAGATGTATCACTTTTTGAAGTCATTTCTACTACGAAATACTGGATAGTATTCTCCGTGCAATTCTATCTTTGTTTGCAATCTAGTATTAGGTTTGTTTCATTATCACGTATTTATTTAATCATTTGTTAAATACTATTATAAAAAAACTGTCTAATTGCTATCGTACATTTTTGTGTTTGGATTTCGTCGGTCTCTTATTTAATATTCAGTACTACTAATAGTTTTATATTATTATGAGTTTTTGAGATAGAATTTTAGTTCAGTTATTGCTTTATTTTAATACAATTGGTTTTAATTTTACATATTTATTTTAAATGTTTGGTTTTCTTTTGTACAGATCATTGGCTGATTGCACTAATGGCTTCGAAAGAATTGGGGTTTGCAGTATACACATTACGAACGATGAATAGTTAATTTGACCATTTTGAATACAGATTTCACAACGCTTGATTTATTACAACAAAGGCAGACGTAAGTACGCTTTTATATTAGTTTTTTATTGGACCATGAGCAATAAGTACATACTTAGAGAATATGCAATATATATGCTATACATATATAAATTATTCATATACAAATAGTCTATATGTAATACAATTAAATTATAAAATATAAATTATCTTAAATTTTAATAAAGCTCGGTCAGAACACCAAGATGAAAATGAAAACGATTACATAAATCACTCTATTAGGTCGAATATACCTATTAGGTATACTATTTGTATAACTTTGTTTTAATCTATTTTTATAATCATTTTTACTATAATCTTTTATGATTATCTACATATGTAAATTCAATTTATATACGATAATTTACGTCTTTAAATTTAAATCTAATCTCAAATAATTACGTACACAATTTAAATAATATTATCTGCAGCACTTTAAAATTTTATTCTCAATTATAACTTCAGTGGTTGGATTAAATATATTACACCCATTGTATTCGTTTAAAACACCTTACATGAAATCTTATAAAATATCAGTACCAACGAAGTACAGGAATAATAATAATTCGTTGTTCCATATCGTATCTTATTCGAAGTGCAAGTAAAATAGATCTTCCGTGATCTGTACTTATCTTCTAAGGATATGGAAGGAACTATCGGTCGATAACTTAGTTCCCACTTTGCTCGTTACGTTATACCTGGATAAATAACTTTTATCCTTTTTACCACAATATGGTGTTAACACGATGGTTAACTAAATGTAATAGCTTTTGACTGTGTTAATATTTGTGTTCGAAAATTATATTTCACAAGTTTAGTGTACGCAAATATTCCATTAAATTATCTCGTATATCTTTGGAAATTCTATCAAAGAAAAACTAACATAGCAGTATTATTACGTGTTAATAAAGCGAAGCTTTCCTCGAATTCCTGGGTTGGAGGTAATAAACTTTAACACGGAACGTAATAGCGTAAATGTTCTGGTTGAAACATTTTGTGTCGCCATTATTCGAGATATCTCAGCGTTAAATGAGCTACTCGGTAAGTTCATATACGCGTAAAACGTGCATCATACCATTGTCCAAAACGGTTCTATTTCGCGTTCGTTTCCGCGAGACTTGATTCTTGCAGGTTTCCTTAATCTTTGTTACAACGTCGATAATAGTACGTTTAACACGAACTTTTTCAAGTGCATAAACTCGTATTAGATATTCTATATCTATACATGTGTATGTATTTACGATATATTAGAGCACTTGGGAGGATATCTCGAAGATTAAAAATAACAATATTGTATTTATAATCTGTTGTATTCACCGTTGTAACAAAGCGATTTTTGTTTTCCCATATGTTATTTAGTCAATTTCATTTAATTTAGTTAAAAATCTCGAATCTTTTCCGGAAAATCAGTTAACCGAGTCGTATGTTCGAAAATTATAACTGCGTAAATATTATAAATTAATAACAAATTTGTTAGAAACGAACGTTATCCCGTTCTATCTTTTTTTAAAAACATTGTACATCACACGCGGAAAAATTATTTATATTTCACAGTTTTCTCGTATTTCGAAATTTAACGAAACCCGATAGCATATTCTCGTATCATTGTTTTATCTTTCATCGTTTCAACGTTATTTGATAAATCGGAACTGCATAACGAATGTTATCACGCATTTGCTTTTGATGAAAAACTACGCATTTAATATGCTATATATATTGGTTTTATCGTTACGTAGGATTCCGTTGGTTACAACTTGTGCAATATTGTTAATGAGTTTTACGTCTGCATCGCGTAGTTTAATTAAGCGGTGATCAAATATCATGGTTCCTTGCATCGCGGCTATCAATTAGCTAACGTCGAAATACGAAGATCGAATTTACAAATGGACGGTTGAACGCGAATCCTCGACGCGTGGTTCTGCAATTTCGTTTTAATATCAAACGATAGCCATTAACAGCGGATTCGCAAACGACGATCGTCATCTATCGTCAGACGATAATCGTGGAATCACTTTCCTGGAAAGATGGTAGACACTGTGGCCTAGATAGGCAAGGATCAAAGGCGTGCAAGTTATACGAGGCTTTATTGCGGAAAAGCTCGGTAATTTTACGAGTTTTCTAGTGAGGCGAATTAAGATTTGCATAACGTCGGTGCGCCGCTCGGACCTAAGTGTCGAGAAATGCAAATGTAGCCTCGTGCTTAGAACTTTCCTCTCCCTCTGTTTCACCGTACCGTCTTTTCGGCTCTGTTTCCCTGGCCGTTAGAAGCGACGACGAAATCGTAAAGGATGTGGAGAAGACGAAGGACGAGAGGCGAAAATAGGAGCCACTATAACATTGTGCGAACGTAGGATCCTAGATCCTACACCTTCTTCTGGCAAATTTTCAACCAAAATTTCACCAGACGATGCTTGGTCCCGATAGAACGAAAGAACCTTCTTCCATCTGCTTACATCTCTGCTGCGATTCTTTTACAATTTTCATCGAATTTCCGTTCTTTTCGGTTTGTGCGCGAACGATGGAAAATTGGAACGAGATTCGATCCTTTCCACGATTCTGTACAATCTTAGTATCGTCGTTGGTAGACTACTTTGCGGAGGATCGAGGCTCGTCCCTTTTTGCTTTCACGGGGAAATTACGGTAATGGAGCGTGCGAATCATCGCGTTGGTTCGCGCTCGTTCCCAACGATATCGATACCTTTCGCAACCGTTAGCGTAAACTGGTCGCGTTGCAACGTATTCATGCGCGGCTCAGGTGCACCTGATTACGTTAATAATGAACGCAATTGGTGCTCACCTGCGTGACTCGTCGGACGCGCGTTTAATCTGTTTACCGAAGCTCGTTGCTGCTATCGCGTAGTCTCGCGTTTGGCCGGCAAAATTGCCGATGTTGGCCCGGTGCTGATTTCAGCAGCTGGATAATATCATCGCTAGATTCGAAGATAGTCTTCACACTCGAATTAAATGGCAATTTGTCCGTCATAGTACACCAGTATACACGTGTACCTACGTATAACAAGATTTTTAGCATCGACAGATGAAAAGAATAGATTAGAGGAAAATTAGGGGTAAATCAGGAATAGCTTAGGGAGAAATCAGGGTTTCTGTAGGTTGTTGATAATTATCGCGTGTTTAACCATAGGGCGGAGATTTGATCGGAAAAGACGGGTCACGCAATGCGGTAACGTTTTTCCAAGGCACGTAGCGAACTCGGTGTATAGCGGAAGGTGGAAAAAAGGAAGAAAGAAATAAAATAGAGGAAGTAGAGGGCTGGTGTTGGGAGGGTAAGAGTGGAGCGTATTTACGGTATATTTTCGTATCGCCTACGGGCTGGTCAAACGTCAATTCAGCCCCGGTTCAACGTATTCCCGGCACGCCGCAGAATCAGTGGGTCGTGTATTTTCCGCGAGAAATCTCGTGTCCGGATAAAGTTGGTTATCGCGCGACCCGACGAATACAACGGATCGGATATTCTTTCGTTTCTCTCTATTCTCGACGTTCCAACCTTCGCAAATCTTTGCTTTTCGTCCACGTGTAGCTACCGATCTTTCATTTCGATCGGCATCTTTTTTCGTGTATCGATTAAGTTTCGAGTGATCGTGTTCGTCGCTGATAACGAAAGATCGAGACTATAAGAATCTTTTGCTTCCTAGTTCGGGCCGCGTGAAATGCAGCGTTAACGATAAATTCAAATTTTATTGAATTATACGGTATACCGAGGAAGATCGTTTAAAGTACAAGCAAATGCTTTCACGATCGAATTCGGTGCGTGGTTTCTACCAGGATTCCTCGTTCTTGTTTGCGCATAATAAATATTTATAAAGGGGAACACGGACAGAGAGACGGATTTTGAGACGAAGGAGAATCCTAGCTGGTTTTTCAATCGGTTGCTCCGTAAATTACTCTAATTTTCCTTTCCAACGTTGCCCGTGGATTCTCAATCGCTGTTGCGCGAGAAGTTGTCTTTGCAAAGAATCGTATTCGTTCACTCGCAATTTGGTAGAGGACAACCATTCTGGGGTATCATTTGACACTCGTTGATGCGTAATTAAGCTGTTTAACTGGGATACAAAGCGCAAAGGAAACGCGATTTCGGTTTAATTTCGAAGGATAATCGGGAGCAGTAGCGGAGGAAAATTGGCTGGAATCGGAGCGTCGGGCGTCGTAATAACGAGACCATCGAAACGCAAGATCGTTATGTCGCTGTTCCTTAGTAAGACCGCTAGTAAACAGCGATACATCTGCACCGGTTTAACATCGATACGTTGGCCGTGTAAATTGCAATCTCACGAGATTTGCCGAACGAGTAGGTTCGATGATAAGCTAGTTACGCGACGATCGAGGAGGTCTCGTTAAACGCGATAACGAATTTTCTAGCCCGAAATTGCTGATAATTTGGAATTAATCGGGAACGGCGTAGATTAAGAGTTCGTTTGGATATAGGTTTTTCAAGGACATAATAATTATCGACATCGATCTCGCGTGTTTGTTCCTCGATGGAGAATATATTACGGCATTGGGAACATTTTCATTAAGCGGAACACGGGACTCGCGGAGGAGCGTGCAAACATTTTTATTTCGGTTCTCGTTGATGCACTCTGAAAAGAGCGTATTTTATTCACGCGCTGCATGACGTAGATACGTTCGATACGTGCCACGATGAAATTTTACTTCCGTCAACTGTGCGTATATTTCGTAGATCTCTCTTTTGAAATTCGTTGGAAATTTGTATAGCAACACGTGGATGCATGCAAAAAACAGCGTACGTATGCACTCGGGCACGCACTATTGTATCTGTCGTTGCCAACTTTTACAAGGGTTCGATTCGCTTTGTTCTCGGAGTATATTTCGAATCCATTGAGAAACGTCGTGTTCCGACATCGTAATCGCTGAATTTCCATGAAACTTTCGTCGAACGCGATTGTTCCATTTCCCCTGCATCTGCATTGTTCCTTGCCCGCCGATGTTACATCCGCATGTTCCACGCAAATATACGTCCCCGTAAAAACAAGCATCCGTGCTGGTACTTCGTTTACCCGTGGATCGTAGATAAACTTTAACGACCTATTATCGCGAATCTTCTGTGTTAAGGTTGTTAATCAAACCGAATTCCAGCGAACAGGCAAGACGCTCTCTATCTCGTAATGGTTTCGCCGTGGCCATTATCGTAATTGAAACGAACTTCCCTCGAAATTCAACGCCTGCCACCGAGATTTACAGGTTTTTCGTTGCTCTCGCGTGCGCAGTTAGCGTTACGCTGATTTGCTTTTAGCTTGTACACCGGTGTCGTCCGCAGCTTAAAGTCGAAGCGGTACCGTTTAATCGTGGATACCTGTGATTCATTGAAGCGGATGAGACGCAATGCAGGACTTAAAAAGATCCCCGTTGCCAGCAGGCAAGACAATGGCTCCGAAAACGTTTAATACCGGCGCGTCCGTATGCCTTCGGTGCGCCGTATGATTTATCGTTTCCCAAGATGCGCAAGAATATAATGCTAGTGATTTATCGTTCCATTATTCGGTCTCCCGGTTCTGGCCTTGCGTTTACGACAAAGTGGCGAACGCTTTAGTTTCGTGTCACTCGTAAATCCCTAAAGAGGGCCGATTTTCTGCCAAACGTATCCTACCATCGAGGTAAACCTCGTTTACCTAAGAAAAAACCAGGCACGATCGAGGCATATCTTGTTTCATTCGGTGCGTCGAACCTAATAGACCAAATGTCTACCTACGTTACTCATCCCTTTACACCTACATATATCTATATACATACACGTACATATATATACAAGGTGGTTGGTAACTGGTGGTACAAGCGGAAAGGGGGTGATTCTACGCGAAAAAAGAAGTCGAAAATATGGAATAAAAATTTTTCGTTCGAGGCTTTGTTTTCGAGAAAATCGACTTTGATTTTTCGCTCGGTACGCGTGCACTTTATCGCGTCTCCTTATAACGGATCTCACTGTAGATCGTTGTCTCGATGGAAAAATTAAAAAAAAAATTTTATTCTATATTTTCGACTTCTTTTTTCGCGTAGAATCACC